CTTTAAGTGTGAAAGCATTTCTTACACTCCTTTCTATCTTCTATAGCAGGTTTCTCAACCTTGGCACAATCAACATTTTGGGCCAGATAACTCTTTGTTGGGCAATGGGGGGGATGTCCTGTGCATCTTAAGATGTTTAGCAGCACACCTGGCCACTATCCACTAGATGCCATTATCGCATTCCCCCACCCCCAGTTGTAACAACCAAAAAAAAATGTCTTCAGGCGTTGACAAATGTCCTATGGGAGGCAAACTTGCCTCTGGTTGAGAAACACTGCCCTGGAGCTCCCATAGAAGCCTTTGCAAAAGGTGGGTACTTTTTAAGTATCTGTGGACTATACGGGGACCTTATCTAGAGATTATACATGGCACATCGAGGTGATCCTGAAGCAAAACTAGAGGTCTGGATTACAAGCAATATGTAGGGTCTGTGGCTGCTAGTCACATTTGTTTGCTTACTTAATTTTAAAGCTGATGTAGGTTGACATGTGGCACAGAAAACTTAGTAGTATAATAACCTACATGTGTTCTGATGTATGTAGAACATATAAAGTGATGACATGTAGGTTATTATATTACACATATATGGCTGATATATGTAGCACTTTAACACAGATGAGACCTGAAGTAGCAAAAGAGATAAATTAATACCAATCCAAAATACTAGGTTTCATATTTCTTACATTTCATGTCATTCAATCTCACATTAAATACAATTTTAAAATAAAGACAATCAAACCTACCTTCACTGCCCAAAAGTCACATGACAACAACAAGATAATTGTCACCATACAAGCAATAAAGCTGCTGCTGAGCAATTCACAGAGAAGATAGACGATAATTGCACTGACTCGGAAGAATAAATGGAAAAAGGATGCCACTGGGTGTCTGAAAACCAAAACATAACAAAAGAAATGCAGTTACATTTACTACAGGTACTAGCAGATGGAGATGAAAAATGTTTTACCTATGACATAACCGTGAAGTTTTGTCAAAATAAGATGACTTGAGGAGGAAGCAAATCTCCTATCTCTCTTTTTTCTTAAGCCCCAGTATTTGACTAGGCCCTGTCATCACAGAAAATACTGTATGTAAACATGACTTTAACCCCTCATTGAATACAAACTTTCACAAAATATATAACAAGAAACTTTACCTAGCTTGGAGAAATAAGGAAACTATAGTCTTAGAATTTGAATCCTGTTTTCAAATCATACCAAAAGAATTTCTAGGCCCTCTGAAATCACTTCGGGCATTAAGACAAAGTCACTGTCAGGTAGAGTTTTTTTGGTTTTTTTTTTAACAGCTTATTGAGATATAATTCACATACCATACAATTTACCTATTTAAAAGTATACAATTTAATGGGTTTTAGTACATTCACAGTGTTGTGCAATCATCACCACAACCAATCTTCCAACTTTTTATCACCCCAGAAAGAAAACTCTGTACCCACTGGCAGTCACTCCCCATTTACTTCCAACCCCCTCAGCCCTGGGTAACCACTATTTATCTTCTGTCTCTATAGATTCACCTATTCTGGACATTTCATGTAAATGAAATCATACAATATGTGGTCTTTGAGGACTGGCATCCTTCACGTAGCATATGTTTTCAAGGTTCAAATAGAATTTGATTTCATTAAATGAATTTCTTTAGACTAGAGAACTAAATTAGAATAGAAATTTGTTGGCTTGAGAGTTTCATGGTTTTGATACAAAAGATGTAATTCTGAAATTTGCACAATAAATCAAAATGTAATGTATCTACAGAAACTATATAATGAAATGGTGCATCCTTAGAAAACAGTAGCAAGGAATTAAAAACACAGGTGTTGAAATAATTGGATTTGCTGATTTAAAAACTCTGTATTAAAGTAAAATTCCATATGCCAATTATTCCCAAAAACATCTGAAATGTTACCTTTGTCTCATACTAAATATCAAACTAGCAATACACAACATTCACAAGCACATTGCAGCCACTTTGCCTTGAATCCCATTGGCTGCCACGTATGAACAGAACAGAACTGGACAGCAGCATGACTCGGTAAGCTAGCCTCATACCTGATTTTGGATTTTTTTGGTCTGTTAGTTGTCTCCTCTTCTGCATCAAACAGTGAAACATCTTCAGTGTCATCATTACTGTCCTAGTAGGCAAAGTAAATATCCATGAAGCAAAATGAAATTCAGTATTTACACAGCCACCACACGCAAAGTCGCACAGTCATTGAAAGAGAAGATAAAATTAGGACGTGGTCACAGCAATCCACAACCTAGGAAAAGGGCATGTGCAGATCCCCCCTCCCCACCCCAATCATCTGGCAGAAGCCTCCTGTGGTGATCCAACAATCTGCTGCTCCTCCCCTGCCCCTGGACTGCCGAGCACCACGAGAAAACACCGAGAAAACACCGGAGTGCAGGAGACAGTCCTGTAAACTTATTAACACATTATTTTCAGCTGCTCTCTCCCAAGTCACAGAGAAAGCTAAGGCTATCAGGGATAAACTTGATGTTTTTGGCTACAAAATCATCTGACTGCATCCCTGTTTCCATGACTCCTACTCACAACTCCTTCTCTTCTTATCCAAGGCCGAACAATTATTTGTGCTCTGAATCTCTTCATTTGATGCCTCCTCAGGGGCTCGTTCCATCATTTTTCCCTTTGTTTACATATTTACACTTTCTTCTATCTTCAGGTGTCTCTATTAGATCTTTCTAATCAGCATATAAATTTCTTCAAATGCCGCTTGTTGGGAGAAAAAGATTTTTTATAAGCCCTAATCCTGAATCTCCCCTTCAATCTTCTACCTTCCATTGCATTCCTTCCTTTCACCACCTTGGGCTTCTGAAGAGTGGTTCACACCTCAAGTCACTGCAATTCCCCCTCAGCCTCAACCACAAGAAGCTGTTCCTGTGCCTCTCCTAGTGCCACTCACCAGCCTGCCCTGCACGAACTTTGCAATGGCCCCTCTACATACACAGGATAAAACTGAACTCCTTCATGACTCTCCCTTCACTAGAAACTGCAGCAATACCGTCACTACACGGTCCCTGAGAACACTACGGTCTCTTCCATCTTTCTGCCTTTCACGTATTTTGTCTACTCAGAAAACTTTTCCCGTCCCCATCTCCTACCTAGCTCACCATCGGACAAACACCAAATCATCCTTCAAGTATCAGCTCAAATACTGAAATACCTGAGAAACTTTCCCTGAAACTCCCATGTTCCCATGACACTTGGACAAATCTCCACTTGAACAATCATCTCAGGGTCCTCTTACTGCAAGTCTGCCCCCTCCTATCTCCATCTAGACTAAACTACTAGAGGACAAGGACTGTCTGTACTGTATGCAATAAGTCCCACCGTCTAGCAGAGCAACTGGCCAAGTGGTACAATATTTGTTGAAGGCGTGATAAGCAAAGGAGGCAACTACCTATAATACACAGCAGACTGAGATTGGTACTAGGAGAAATCTAAGTGCAAATGGGAACCAGGGAAGGAAGAGAATCATTTCTACTAGAGAGCACTGGAGAAGCTTCCTGGCAGAAAGTTTATCAGCCAGGTCTTGACAGTCCACGTGGGCCTCCTGCTCACTCTAGTCCCTAGACTAAGTATACGTTCAAAGGCACAGATGTGGGAATACAGGAAATGGCCAAGTAGCCCACACGGTAAGTGAAGGGTGGAAGAAGCAGAGTTATGAGCTAAGGCTGGAAAGACAAATGGAGTTAGATCTATGAGACCACTGGTTCTCAACCTTGGCTACACACTGGAATGCCTGTTTGGGCTTTTTTTTTTAAAAAAAAAAAAAAAAAAAAAAAAAGCTGGTATCTGGATCTCACTCCCAGGGGTTCAATGTAATTGCTCTGAGGTATGATCCAGGCATCTGGATTTTTTTAAAGCTCCCAAGATGCTTATAACATGCAGCCAACATCCAACATATGATGTTATGAATAAAAAGTCGAGGCCTTCTGCTCTTAATCCCCACTGTTGAAGCTCCATCCAGTAGAGACTTTTTCACATCAGATCATTCCCCTACTTAAAACCCACAGCACTTCAAATAAAAAACCAACTCCCTATCTTGACCCATCACAATCTATCTGGTCTCTGCCCACCTCTAAGACCTTTATCTCAGGCCATTCTCCCTTTATTAAATGCACTAGGCTTAATAATGCCTTCTCTCACCCCTGCAAAGATGTCTAGGTTCTAATCTCTGAAACCTGTGAATATGTAAATTTATTTGGCAAAAAAGAATTCTGCAGATGTAAACAGATGTAATTAAATTAAGGGTCTTGAGGTGGGGGAATTATCCAGGTGGGCCCAATGATACAATCACAATGGTGCTTATAAGAGGGACACAGGAGAGTTAGAGTCAGAGAAGGTGATAAAATAAGGAAAAGGAGAGATCAGAGAGGGATCTCAATGTCATGCTGATGGCTTTGAAGATGGAGGAAGGGACCACTAATCTCTAGAAGATAGAAAAGGCGAGGAAATGGATTCTACCCTAGCACATCCAAGAGGAACAACACCCTTCCCACACCTTGATTTTTAGCCCCTCGAGACTCATTTTGTACTTCTGACCACCAGAACTGTAAAACAACAAGGCATTTATAAGGCACTAAGTTACTATGGTAATTTGTTACAGCAGCAATAGGAAACTTACACAGTAACTAATCTCCAGCCAGACTGGCCTTCTTTTTAGTTCCTTAAACATGCCAAACTTGCACCCCATCAGGTCCTTCTGCACAGTCCTAGAACATTCCTCTTACCCTGCTCTTTGAAAGACTGGCTTATTCCCATTCCTTCAGTAAATACAGGGCCCACCATATGTCAGACACCGATGTAAGCGTACAACCAAAAAAGGGACAAATAGCACTGCACTTTCTGAGTTGCATTTACTGAGGAAGACCATGGGCACAACAAATTTTGGGGCAAAATCAGAAGTTTGAATTTGGATAATTTAAGATGCTACTATGTGAACTTCAAAAAAAATCTGAGAGGGAGAATCATTGCAGTGTTTGGAGCATAGGACTGACATGTTCTGACTCACCCATTAAAAAGAAAATTCTGGCTACTGTATTAAGAATCTGGAGGTTGGGGGAAGGGGGAGAGACAAAGACACAAAGTAAGACACTAGTCAGGAGACCACTTCAATAATGGAAGCAAGAAGTAAGGGACTGATTCAGGGTGGATACAGTGGTGAAAAGCAGACAGATTCCGAATACATTTCAAGGTAGAGCTGACAGGATTTGCTGATGGGTTGAAGGTAAGACAAAAGGAGTCAAGGAAGATGCCAGAGATTTTGTCCTGAACAGCTAAAAGGACAAAGATGTCAAAGAGAGACTGTGGGCACTCCAATTTTTAGAGGTCAGAAAGAAAAGAAGGAATAGGTGGTGGGGACTGAAAAGGAAGTACCGAGCAGTGGGAGGAGAGCCAGGAGAGAGTGAGAGGTGGTGTCCTGGAAGCCAAGTGAAGTGCTTCCAGGAGTAGGATCGGAACAACTGTGACAAATTTTGCTCACAAGTAAGATTAAAACCAATTGACCACTGTAATTTTAACTGGTCATCAGTGACCTCAATAAGGGCAGTTCAGTATGGCAGGGCTGGAGGAAAAAGGCTAACTAGAATGGATATGAGAGAATAGAAGAATTAAGAGACAAATATAGACAAGTCTTTCAAGGAACAAAGACTGTGGTGACAGCTGAAAGGGCATGTGAGGTCAAGTTTTTATTTTTTAAGATAGGAGAAATTAAAGCATGTTTATATGCTGATGTGAACGAGCTTTTAAAAAGGAAAAAAAAAAAAAGACTGACCATGCAGGAAAAAGAACTGCTGAACAATGCCTTCCAGTAGGCAAGAGGGGATGGAAACCAGAGAACAAGTAGAGGGGAGGGCTTAAGAATGGGGCAAAAACAGTTCAGTAAAAGACTACATGGGAGATTATGGGTAAAGATGCATATAAGGTAGGCAGGTGGTGTGCAAATTCTCTTCTGATGCCTTCCATCTCTCAATGAAACAAGAAGCAAAGTTATCAGCTACGAGAGAATAAGGGAATAAATGTTTGAGAAGAGAGAAGTTCCAGTAGTTGCATAAGGAGTGTGAGGGGACTGTGGAAATGTAGAAATGATTGCAGCACTGAGGGCTCACTTGAGGTTCATAGTCAGAAACTTACCAAGTGGGAACAGTCAGCACGGTTGTGTGTTTCTCCAGCCTCATTTGGCCTGGGTGCAAGTTCAGACAGCTGAATTTAACCATCAATGGATTTTCTCCACTCAAGTCGTCATCTCATAAGTGGCCTTTCTGACCATAAATCCTAGCTGTCCTATCCTCAGATACTTACTATTTCATCACTCTGTCTTTGCGATTTATTATTATCTGAAAATATCTTTAGTTATGTAATTTATCAGGTCACCCACCTCCTTTACTGCCCCCATCTCCTAGAATCCACTCCCCCAATCTGACAATTCAGGGCAAGAAACCTGTGTACTGTTCACAGCCCTATCTCTGGGCCTAGAACCGTGTCTGGGCCATAGTAATCCCTCAGTAAGTTATTTGTGAACCAAAAGGAAAAATACTTAAGATAATCTGTGACTATAAACAGTAATTTTCTTCCTAAAAGGAAGAGATTATTAATCTTACTAATCTTTAGCTGTAAACCTGTGGCCTATAATTAACGCTAAGAGCAAAAACGTGATAATCACCATCAAAGTTAGTTTGCTATCAATAACTTGAAAGCAGGGCTCTGGCAGTGTACTGTTCCTAAAAGATCGCAGCGCATCCCTAAGGGTCAGCTAGGAGGGAGCAAAGAGATGCCCGCAGGCCGCTCCCCCTCACCCCAGTTTACGCACTAAAGGCTGAGGAAAGAGAGACCACCGCGACCTCACCCCTGGAGCGCCGCTGCAGCCCAGCACGGGGTCCACCTAGCGCTCAACGTCTGCGGACAATGGGCTTCTCCACAGCCGCAAGCTGCCCCTGCTCAGCGCCGCCTGGGTCACGCCTCCACCAGAGCCCTTGGAGCGCCCAGCCGCCCTCCCTGGACAACAGCACACGGCACTCCACTCTCGCCCGCCCACCCCGGTCCTCCTGGAGTTCTGGTACCGGGAAGAGACGCTCCACTCCCGCCCAAAGGACCCTGCAGGGCGGGCCCCCAAGAGCCACCGCCTCTCCCAGCGCCCCTCACCTGCTGCAACATAACGACTCTGCGCCAGCCCCACTTCCGGGAGCCACGTCAGCGAGTCAGCCTCCAGGTCCGGACCGGAACTGACGTATCCATTACCACGGACCAGGAGGGGCCTATATACAAACCCCCGTCCCGCCCCACTTCCGCTTTGAGGCGCCTCGCGGGCCGAGTAACTCTGTGGGCGGGGCGGCCGGGGGCGGGGTCTCCTGGGGGCGGGGCGAGGAGGGCAGACCGGGCGGGAGCGAAATCTGGCCCAAACAGGAGCGAAAAGGAGCTGGGAAAGGAACCCAGGACCACAGTAGGCTCAAAGGGGAAAGCTTCGTGGTTTGTTACAGGGAAATGTTTACTGTCTACTGGGTGCAAACTCTAAAGTCATTACCGCCGGCGTCGATGCCATGAGTGCAGGGGTCGGGACTTAATTATACCATAATTTAATTTTGTCTGAGTGTTACACAATGACATGGATTTTTGTACCGTATCATATTTTGTGCTTTAAATTTTAGAAGCAATTAAAAAAATAAACGTGCGCTTTCGAAGGGGTAAAACGTTAGTAAGAAGAACAAGGCGAGAGGACGATGAGGGTATTATGGAAGGAAAATAATCTTAGATGTCAGGAAACAGTAAGGAATGGTAGAGACCGTGCGCTCTGGAGTTTGGGGTCTTGGGTCCTCTATTACCAATTATATAACCAACCTTTATGTACTTCTTTTCTTAATCATAAAGTGGGGGTGATAGTGGTATCCTTACAATGTAAGTATCTTGCAAATGGGACACGTTATTTTTATTACTGTTCTAGGTCCAGCCGCTCATGATGCGGTCTTGCCTGGACAAAGGACGTAAAATTTAAGGGGTGTTAGGTCTTTGAGACGGTGATGATAACAGTATCCTGTCTGTCCAGCCTAGTCAGACAGCTGTTGGAAGGATCATGGAATAATGTTTATTCACACATTTCCTTAATTGAGGGGATTCTATCCATTAAGATCACAACTTAAAAGTTGTGTGCCAGTGCTTTCTTAAATCCAATACTTGAATAATGAAGGGGGAAAAGCCCTGCATTTCTCAAAGGAGAGATCGCTTGGCAAAGCCATTGCACTGGTGCCCTCAGAGGTGAAAAGCTGAAGCCGAGAAATCCGGGCTGTGCATCCAGACTGCCCATGCATGTTTTCAGTGGCCCATCCATTGTTGTGGAGGTTCTTGGAGTTGTCTTTTTGTTACTTTTGCTTTTGTTATGCATTCTATTTGAATTCATTACCATCCTTTAAAATTTATGGCATTTCTCAGAAAAATGTGAATTTCTGGCTTTTCTTGAAGAGGCAAAAGATCAGGCCTTGCTGAGCCACTGAGTAGTAGGCTTTGTATGGGGCTTGAGCTCGCCAATGGGCCATAGCCCGGTGGGCTGCACTTCTGAATTACTCATCTGGTCCCTGACACCATCCTCCAGAGGTTTAAGTGGAAACATCAACACACTCAATATTAGTGTCCCTCTTTGTAGACAGAATGAGTATGCTTAATTCTCTTCCATAGGAGTTAGCCCTGAGAAGGAAAAGCACACAAAACATTCTCCAATGCAATAGGTCAACACCATTGAGAACTTCCCCTTTTAGATTCTTAACTGAATTCACTGAGTTTCATCAGTCTTCTACACAAAAATACCAGGAAACTCCAATGCATTATTCTGACATAATCCCAGCACTTGATTTGCTGGCAGAACTAATAGCCCTAAACTGGTAGTAATATCTAATTTCCAGTGATCACCTCCCCACCCTCCATCAGTGAAACTCGGCTTCCCTAAGTCTCACTGAATGGTTTTCAGTGGGAATACAGATGCTGATATCTCCCAGACTCCTTGCATTTCTTACTTTGATGATATCAGTTCTTTGGCTCATAGGAAGATAATTAGGAGTTCTCAAGTTAATTGTAATTACCAGGGAGGAAATAGTAAAAAAAAAAAAAAAAAAGGCCAAACACCAACATCCACCTGACTTGGTTTTCTGTTTATCATAAGACATGGTAATTCCCCAAGACTGGTTTAGATAAATACATTTTGTCCAAGTTCAGGGGCTGCAGTTTTCCCTTGCTTCATGAAATTATCAATAGGCAGGCCTTTGATCTTCCTGATCCATGCAGCTTTGCTGGCTTTTCCTGGATCAACCACTGCAGTGGACTCCCTCACCTGATATTCCTTCATCCTGGCTTCCCTGTACTCTTTCTCCTCCTTCACGGTCAACAGCATGAACCCAGTGTTCATTCTAAGGGGATTGAGGGCTGTGCATAAGCGAGCCCGTTCTTTCTTGAGAGACAGGGTGCTCACATGTGGAGCAAGCATGTGGTGCTGTTTGATGACCTGCAAACTGGTCAGGGGGCCCGTACGGTGCACTGCCCCTTCAGTTGAACTGGTCACTTGGTCTTCCTTTAAGCTACCTGAGAACTTAGGGCGGATAATCAGGGGCTGGGGGATGGTGGACTGGACTCTGGGACTATGCAAAGAGTTCTTAAAATTGGGCTGCAACTTCTGGGTTTCAAGGGGAACATTGGTTTTTTTCACATCTATGGGAGGATTGCTGAATCTCAACCTGTCAACTGCATGTTGGACTGATTTTCCTTTGAAATTCAGGACCTTCCTTGGGTGCGAGATTGAAGGTCCCCAGGCATCAATGACTTGGGTTTTAGGCCTATGGGGATAGGCAAACTCCCCTGAATTATGAGCTTGCTGCAGGGCACTGACAGTCAGGAGGAATCGGTCAGGCGACATAGGCATTTTCCAGGACTTTTTCTTTGGGTGATGGATCAATTCTCCAGGAGTTTCCAGTTGTCCTTGTTTTCGTACTTTCATCACATCATCTGCTTTTTCAAAGAAAAAAAAAAATCAGCATTCCATGGAAAATATTAAGTACTCATGCATGAAAGTTAGAGCCATTCTAACAGCTAGGCATGCTGAAGTCTTTGTTGCCTAACAGGCATGCCATCACCTGGGCAGACATCCCCAGTGGTATCGGAAATGGTGATACCAGAAATGATTTAATGATTTAAAGAAGTTTTTAATAAATATGCCAGTATTGTGTAAAGTGTGTTTTAGCCTCTAGATGCGACTCCAATGGTCCACATATTTTTTAAACTTCCTTTTGGGGAAAGACCTTCACATACCATATATGATTCACACAAAGCAGGCTTTGTAAATGTATAGTAGTAACATACCTGTATTTTAAACAACAACAATTGTATTGCAAAGTTTGATCTCTACTTATTGATTAAATTTGACTCCAAATAATCTTGGATGTTTCCCAAAATCAAACCTGCCTTCAAAGAATATATCACCCCTGGGTAATGCAAAATAATCATAACATGACTAAAAGACGGTTCCTCCAGAGGAGTTCCCAAAATGTTTTGAACAATAGCGGCAGGTCCAAAAGTCACTGACCAGAATAAGAGATTCCCTCTGCCATAGTGTTTTGTGGTCAAAGCCTCAGAAGTGTCTAAGTTAACAAGTTATAACAAAGTTATAAGTTAACAAAAATGTCTTCACAGGTGAGCAAATCTATAACGTCCCTTCCATTTGGGCTTTTCAGTCCCTACGATACCACACAGAAACACTGAAAGCATCATCCTTATTTTACAAAAAGAAATAACTGAGTCATGAAACGTAGAATTCATTTGCTTAATCCGACCTAGCAAGTAAAATCTGTACCCCAAGCTACACCAGGGAATAAAATGCAATGGCGTATTCAGAATATAATTTTCCTCGGCCAAATAGGTTTTAGCCCAAGATGTTTGTGTGTGAACACACTAGGACAGAATGAAACTTCAAATTTTCCCCGAACCTTTACTTTGCTAATTAAACAATATTTTATTATAACATATAAAACTGAGTGAAAATACGATGTCAAAATCTTCCCTGCTCTTCTTCCAAACCCCAAATAATGCATAACTTTTCTCTTTTTATAAAAAAGAGAATTGTGATGAGCTCGTTTTAATTTGTCTTTTTCACATGATAATATATTGTGGATTGCTTTCCAAGTTACTATATATGGATCCTCCTCAAACAATTTTTAGCTATATATAATATTCCATAGTATAGATTTTTCATTATCGGCTCAACCATTGCCCCCAAGAAGTGAGGAAGCTGACTGGCTGGGAACAGAGGCAGGCTGTGAGCCAAAAACTGGAACCTTGGGTCTTAGAAAGGTTCTCCCTCTATGGCCTCAGTGTAGTAAGGGGACAATTAAGGAAAACCAGTCACTCTTAGGTGAAGCCAGGCATTGCATTCATTCTGAATTCTGAAAGATAAGCAAAGTTGTTGGCCTGCTGGAAAACAAAACTAAAATTGAGAGACAGAGACAGAAAAAGAGAGAAAATGAGTTCTGATCTCACCACTAGTTCAGAATAAGGTATCACCATTCGTCTTACCTCCTGCCTCAGATTTTGCTTCCAAAGTCTCTTGCCCACCATCCGTGCCATGTGCTTCCTTATGAACAGAATAAGCTCTCTTCTTGCTATCTCTTTGGGGCAATTTTAGCTTTTCTTGACTTTGAGCTTGCTCCATTAACATTGCTAAATTGAGATTGAGATTTAGGAAGAAAATGTAGTCATGGTATACTTCAGTTAGGTGTGAATGATAACGGCATAATAATAATAATACTTGCTTTGAGCTTGCTCCACTAACATTGCTAAATTGAGATTGAGATTTAGGAAGAAAATGTAGTCATGGTATACTTCAGTTAGGTGTGAATGATAACGGCATAATAATAATACTATAATCAGTAATAATGAGGGCTGATAATTGGACTGATTTTCACCCAAAATATCACCATTTTGGTTTTTATGGGTACATAATAATTGTACATATTTATGGGGTACATGTGATATTTTTATACATGTATACAATGTGTAATGATCAGTTCATGGTAATTAAGCTATCCATCATCTCAAACGTATATCATTTCTTTGTGTTGGGAATATTCCAAGTCTTCTCTTCTAGCATTTTGAAATATACAATAAATTATTGTTAACTATAGTCACCCCACTGTGCAGTTGCGCACTGGGACTTATTCCTTCTCTCCAGCTGTATTTTTTGTACCCAGCACCATATCATTTATTGCCATAGGAACTAAGTAGTCACCTGGAGAGACTAGGTCCGATCACATCCTGGCTCCCCTCCCACCTACTTTCCCACTGACTTATGAAGCTTAAGCATTATCTGAAATTCTTGGTTGCCTCTTCTCAAGAGGGAGCTAACTACGTGTGGTGCAATATGCTTGGGAATGATCTATTGGTGTTCTCTATAGATCTGTAGATCCAATTTTACATGCCAAAGACAGGACGGGTAAAAAGGAGTCTTGCTACTCTAACCTACACATAATTTATTCTTTGGATGTCTTACAAATGGCATGAGCCATGCCTGCACCCCGACTTACACACACACACACACACACACACACACACATACACACACACACCCTGGCTTTATAACTAAGATTTTCTAGCTACACATATCCTCTCTCAGAGCTCTCTCAGAGGTCTAAAGAGAAGACATTCTGTATAGAACACTTTTCTGCTTACAGTTACTTCTTGTCTCTGTCCTGAGGAAATAGTTATATTTAATATATGTTTGAATTTTGGGGGGTGAGGATGTTGTTTGTTTGTTTTGTTTTAATGGCAAATATTAAGGCTGGTCTTACCTACTGTAAAAAGATTCTAATAAGTTTGAAAATCTAAACCTTGAAAATCAGGCTAACAAATATTAGTAGTTTGGCAGATCGAAGAGAATGGGTCCGACATTCCTGAAGGGTTAGGATTTATGCCTCAGGAAACCACTGGCCAAAATATCCCACAGAGAAACCAGTCCTGGGCCCCCCTCACCTCCTCCACTGATTGTCACTGAAACTGCTGGGTTTGGCTCCTTTACCTGAAGATAACTTGGCCGCCTTCGGGACAGCACGGGACTTGTGAGGTTTACTTGACAGGAACTCCGGGGTCACAGTTTGTTTACTGGATGCAGAGTCTCTCAGGCTATACATCTGAGTGCTAGACCTGGAGAGAATTTCCGTGAGTCCGTTTTCTTCCTTTTCGTCCCCTCTCTCCTTCTTATTCTTTTGTTTACTTCTTTCCTGGGCATACTGCCATTTTATGGGCTCAAACTGGAACATGAGGATGTTGCTTTCTGTGTTGACCACCATCCTGGAACCAAAACAACAAGATTGTCCACAAAAGGAGCATGCAGGCCACCAAAAGACGCATCGTGATCAATTACCGTCCCCTCCAATCCTGAGGCCCAGGGAACAGTGCCCAGGTAATGGCCACACTAACAGGCTAGTGTAGGGTGTTGGAGAGTCGAGGGCGGTAAAAGGTGTCAGGCCATGCAGCAGGGGTCACTTTGTAGCTCTTTTCTTTAAAAAATAAATGTGAATGGACACATATGTTCTGATTGTTTCACTTTTTAAGTTAAAATACTTTTAAATGAATTTCCGTTCCTAGAACGAGTGCCAGGTACCTAAGGTGCCCAGAAGCTTAGATACACTGATGTCTTGAAACTCATTCCCTTTTTTTAAAGCACAGCTTCCAAACCAATGTTTCCTTTGCTGCGATGGCAATGAGGCAAACTCTGTAATGGGGAGGCGTCCCCTCCTCCAGCGACCCTCCACACGGACCCCACACTTTTCACGCTATCACTCCAGGATCTCTGTGCTTTATAAAGCAGGATGAGTTCTGTCTTCTCTAATCCCCACTTTTATGCCCCGTAGACAAAGAGCTTTGGAACTTGCACCCTTCCCCAGCCCTGCCTCCCCCACCCACTGGTTTCTGTCATTTACACAAAGCAAGCAGCCTCTCAACCCCGTAGAGATCTCCTATAACTGTAAACAAGACATGGAGATTCTATGTGTAGGTTCTTTTCTGCTCCAAAAGGCTGCAATTTTAAGACCTTAACTGTTAACACAAACTCTCTAGAAAAGTAGCTTATTTTGGCTGGAAACGCTTGAATGGAATTTGGGGACTCATTCCAATAAGAAATCTCTTTTGGACTAATTTTTACTGCAGCCAAAAGGAAATCATCTCTCTTTGGATGCTGACAATGAGGAAAGGCCAGAGCTAATTTGTTTTTTACAGCATCATTACTTCATAACTGAAAAGTGTTCATTTATTGAGCCTTGTTACCAGGCTACCCCCTTTAAGATGATATATAGTATTAATGAAGTTTCATTAAAAGGAAGGCAATATGGTTCAGAGAGATTAAGTGATGTCTCAAGTGAGCCTGAGGTACAATTTATAAGTTGATTCTATTTGGTTATTTTCACACAATATCCCTCTGAACCTATTCCTGTGTAATAAGCACAGCACCATATACCATTAGTGCAGTCATGGTACTGGTTTCTGTAAGCTCACCTGCTCAGCTCTCCCTGACTGGCCCCCTGCTGCTGCCGTCCCCACCATCCTGTAAGTCTCTCTGCATTAGAAGTGGGCATCAGAGACAGCCCATGGAGCTCCAGGCAGCTGAATACACAAGTCAAGAGCAAGCAGGGGCCACACTTTGGCAGAACTATGGTCCTTACACAAGAGCTATCCTGCACCCATTGCATGATTTCCCCAAACACCCAGAATGGATGAAGAGTCAAAATGAACTATGACTGCTTCCTGATTGCTAAGTTTTGTGCAAAGCCTAATTAGTCCCCCACAAGACTATTACTCCACTGCAGCCAAAGTTGGAGGGAAGCACGTCCACTCTCTTCCTCTGACTGCAAATCCAGGGCTGGGATCCCAAAGGATAAAAAAAATCATCCAGACAGAATTGCTCGTGGTTCCGACCTCCACACCTACCACACACCTGTTGCCCTGAATAAAGAAGGACAGCACAGGATCACCTCTGCCATTGGCTTTTATCACCTTCAGACAGTTCCCATTGAGGAAATTGTAAATGCGGATCTTGCCATCTGCACAGGCGCTGATGACCCGAAGGAAGAGAAGGGACACGTGAAGCACCTCCCTGGAAGGGAACAGAGCAACAGGCAATACCCGGCAAACTGCTTGGGCTTAACGATAGTTTGGAGTATTTTGTGTGTGGTTGGGAGGCAGTGGCCATAACTGTCTTTGCCAGCTATGTTCGCCAGCATTTTATAATCCTGGGTGTAAACCATGCACTTTCAAGGCATACCTCGTCCTGTTCTACAGTTACTTTTCCTGCAGCTAGGTCACAGTGCCACAAGGTGGCAAAACAAAAAGGCTGATGTCACAGGTTTTTGTTTTTTTTTTGGTCTAATATATAGATGACCATGTTTTTCTCTTTCAATTTGATTCCTAGCTATCTACTTATACAAAAGTAATGCTGAGAATTATTTAATGTTTTGATTCCTTGTAAAATAATATTATATAAAAAAGAAAAAACAAGATGGAAAATGATTATATAAAGCAAAACCTTATATTTCAGCAGTTCCTTTTTGGTCTTAAATTAGTGGCTTTCCTTCCTTCAGTGAAACATGCTTAAGGAAAATTGTATCCAGAGATGAGATTTATGAGTGTCCTTTTGTGATGACTAGTAGGAGAAGAGAGGAGAGCAGAAGACCTAGGTAGACTCTCCAACAAAATCCTCCCTACAATAGCCGGTTCACACTGGACCTCAGATATGTGGAGTATTCAATTCTAAGAACTATAATTATCCCATTTCTCTTAATGACACTGAAAAGTTGAATTTAATGCCACCAATTTGTTAAATTCTGTATACAAAGCAAGTCCATCGATCCCTTCCTTGTCTGTCCAGCCAAGCCCATCCATGGCCTAGCTCATGTGCTACCTTCTCCGAAAAGCCATCCCCTATCTCAATCTCCTCGCCACATCCCCCCCCTTCCCATCACACATGTACAAACACTTCAGGTATACCATCAAATTCTCTGGGCAGAGCTCGTGTCTTACTCATCACTGAGTGCTCATTACCTAGCACAACACCTAGCCCATAGTAGGCCCTCAGTATATATTTGGTGGAAAAAAAGACTGTCTGCTCATGTTTTCAGAGTATGGTCATTTCTACAGCATGTTAAAAGAATATCTATCCATGCCATTTGGCCTTAGCCTTGGTCAGATCCCAGGGCCAGATGAAGATTTTTCATGGCCCTAACCACGGACAAAATAGAAATAACAAAGACCTCAAAAGGCAGAAACATGCTTAGCCCATTCAAAGGACACCAAGGAGGCAAATGTGACTTGAACCCCTCCCTATGTGATTGATAGATAATATAGATGATAGTTAGAACTAAGTTGTAAAATAAATATTAAAAAGTACAACAAAGTTCTAATTTTTTCAAGATGAAAATATACTAACTTTGTTGGTGCCCTAAGCAGCAACTCAGTAATTGAGCACTGGGAGAAATGCCCTGTGACAGAAGAGTTTGCCTCTTTGTGTATCTCTTTTGATCTTGCTGAGCTGATCCTACACTTCCCTTCTCATAGGTTCCTGTGACATTTGGTGGGTCAGTCTATGCCACTGTAGCCTAGTGATTAAAAGCATAAGCTTTGGGATCAAAAAACCTGGGATCAAAACCTGACTCTACCACTTACTGGCTGCATAACCCTGAGGAAGTAACCTCTCAGTTTTCAGTTTTTTTCTTCTGTGAAATGGGGATAGTAATTTCTTCCTCACAGGATTGCTGTTAGGATTAAATTAATTAAGGTATTTTAAAAACTTAGCCCAGTACCTGATACAATAGTGATACTATGATATTAGAACAGCCCAGTCTTCTTTCGGGTTTTATCTCTGCCTTAGAAATAAATTATTTATCTCCTTCTTTGCTCCTTTGCTCCTTGTTCATCAAAGACAATGCAGAGAGTAATGTCAGTGAAAATGATAGATCAAAGAACTCCGAAATTCAGCCCTTCCATAAAAGCAATGGAAAAACTCATTTTAAAAAAAAAACAAACAAAACATCAGAATCAACTTTTCCAGAACTCTGGGAAAAAACCAAAGGTGTGCAACAACCCAGAGAGTGCTTAGACAAGTAAAATGGCTTTGTGTCAGTAAGAACAGTGAGCTTTGTGGCCTGTCAAACTGCCATAATCCCATTTCTCACTCCCCAGCTTAATGGTAGCCATGGATATAACAGCCCACGTTCCTGGTACTGGAGGGAACAGAATGGACTTCATTCATTATTTGACCTGTCTGGTAGCTTCCTGGAAGACTAGCTCAAAAGGCTCGTGTTTATGTCGCCTGACTAGGAATTCATCCATTGTTAAAGCTGCTACCTGGGGGGCATTTGTTGAAAACATTTAAAGGCAAATGTTTTAGTTACTGCTATCTGAGGCAATAGATGTCCATTAGGGAAAACAATACACTAACCAGAAAGCTTTGGAGGAAAGGCTGGGAATGAAACGTCCATGAGGGTTTTGAAAAACTCAGACATATTCCTGGAAATCTAAATGGCCACACACATGCCCAGGGCTGTGCACATGCTTAAGAAAGACCTGAGAAAGCCCTAAGCTCTCTCCTCTGGCTAACCTTGATATTCTGTGCGAGCAGGAAGTGAGGGCTAGGATAGAGTTGTAAACTACCTGGCTGAATGTTGAAGTCTTCCAGCAACAGGCACACAGAGCCCCTTGGAAAAGACTGGGAAAAAAATTGGTTCTAGGCGTTCAAATAAATCTCTGTCCAGTCATTTGCTCACCACCAAGCTAATAAAACAATACAGACTTCACAAGATTAGTTCAGAAAAGTCCCTAAACAAACAAAAACTATTAATACAATAAGCAGCAACAAAAACAAACCTTGGGGACAGGAGAAAATCTGATTTCCAGAGTTGTGACATTGTAATATTCAAAATATTCAGTTTGTGATTCGGGCCTGTAATACTAGCACTTTGAGAGGCCAAGGCACGAGAATTGCTTGAGGCCAGAAGTTCAAGACCAGCCTGAGCAACATAGCAAAACCCTGTTTCCACAAAAAAATTTAAAAAAAAGAATTAGCCAGGCATGGTGGCACACACCTGTAGTCTCAGCTACTCAGGAGGCTGAGGCAGGAGGATCACTTGAACCCAGGAGTTCAAGGCTACAGTGAGCTATGATTAGGCTACTGCCCTCCAGTGGGGGCAACAGAGCAAGACTGTTGTGTCTTAAAAAAAAAATTTAAAGAAAAAAAATTAAAGAAATTTAAAGAAAAAATTTTTACAAAAAAAAAAATTTTAAGAGACAGAGTCTCACTCTGTCACCCTGGCTAGAGTGCAGTGGCATGTAATAGCTCACTGCAACCTCAAACTCCTGGGCTCAAGCGATCCTCCTGCCTCAGCCTCCTAAGTAGGCGGAACTATAGGCATATGCCACTGCACCCTGCTAATTTTTCTATTTTTAGTACAGACAGGGTCTTGCTCTTGCTCAGGCTGGTCTCAAACTCCCAACCTCAAGCAATCCTCCCGTGCAGCCTCCCAGAGTGCTAGGGTTACAGGCATGAGCCACTGCACCCTGCTAAAAATCCATTTTTTAACAAAAAAATTACAAAGCATAAAATTACAAAGCATACAAAGATACTAGAGAATATGGCCCATACACAGAGAAAAACGTAATCAATGGAAACTGTCCCTGAGAAAATCTAGTGTTAGACTTTCTAGACAAAGTCTTTAAATCATCTGTTTTAAATGTGTTCAAATAGTTAAGAAAATTATCCCTAGAAAACTAAAGAAAATTATGATAACGATGTCTCACCATAGATAATATCAATAAAGAGTTAAACATTACCAAAGAATTCAAGTAGAAATTCTAGAGTTGAAAACCATAATAACTGAAATAAAAACTCACTAGTGGGGCTTAACAACAGATGCAAGCAGGCAAAAGAAGCAATGTACTTGAAAAGAGGTCATTGAAATTATCCAGGGTGTGTAACAAAAAGAAAAAAGATGAAGAAAAGTTAGTGGAGCCTCAAAAACCTGTGACATCATCAAACATATCGACATATGCATAATATGAGTCTCAGAAGGAGAGCAGAGAAAGGGGAAGAAAGAATATTTGAAGCTCTAATGGCTGAAAACTTGCCAAATATAATGAAAAACATTAATCTACACACCCAAGAAGCTCAACTCTAACTAGGATAAACTCAAAGAGACTCATACCCAGAATGCATATGATCAAACTGTCAAAAACCAAGGAGAAACAGAGAATACTGAAAGCAGCAAGAGAGAAGGAGTTCCTCATGTAAAAAGGATCTTCAATAAAATTAACAGATGATTTCTTATCAGAAGCCATGGAAACCAAAACATAATGGAATGACATATTCAAAGTGCTAAAAGGAAAAAAAAATAACTGTCAACCAAAAATTCTATATCAAAACCATTCTTAAAAAATGAACGAGGAAATTAAAACATTCCCAGGTAAACAAAAACTGAAAGTTACTCACTGGCAGACCTACCTTATAAGAAATGTTAAATGGAGTC